GAATTGTCGCGATACCTGGAGTTTGGGGGCGGGTTCTCACCAGAATTTGGGGGCGTGGCCGCAAGCGCAGTGGTTTTCGGTGACCCGCTGGGGAGGCTCGCGCAGCGGACGTCGAGGCTGCTTCTTGTTGTTTGGCTGGTGGTTCCTCGTTTGGTTTTGGTTGAGACAGAGCTCCACTGTAGCCCAGGCTGGCTATATAATCCAGACTGAACTCGGTCGGGGCCATCCTCCTGCCTTGGCCTTCCTGTCTCGGTGCTGGGATTACAGGTGTGAGCTACCCCACCAAACTGGAAACTTCTTTTCTAAATAGCTTTCTTCCTGGGGGGCGGGGGATGGAGAGAAGCCTCAGCCGTTTAAGACCACTGGCTGCTCTTACAGAGGACCCAGGTTCAATTCCTAGCCCCCACATGGCAGCTAACTCCAATTCCAGGGGATCTAACACTTTTACGCCAATGCACATAAAATAAAGTTAAATTATTAAGAAGAAAAGGAGAAGTAGCTTCTTTTTCAGATCGCTCCAGGTTTACTATATCATACTCTCTAGGCTTGGGCGAGGAAAAAGCTGGAAAAGTAGAATTTGGGTTTGGTGGCAATACGTTTTTTAATATACAGCAAGTCTCTATGTGATGGAACATCTAGTAATTACAAATAAACCTGTGAGATGGGCAAAAGCATCTTAATAATAACTGGCACTTAGAAACTGCTTTGGGGTGGGGTGGGGCCCGGATAGATGGCCCTGCAGTTAAGAACACTGCCTGGTCTAACAAAAAACCCTGGTTCGATTCCCAGCACCCACATGGTTACTCAAAACCAAAACCAGCTGTAATTCAAGTCCCTAGTGCCCTCTGAAGGCTTGAGGCATGGACATGATGCACAAACATGCGGGCAAGCATACCCATAAGAGTAAACCGTGTTTTTTTGTTTTTGTTTTTTAGCTGGGCGTTGGTGGCGCACACCTTTAATCCCAGCACTCGGGAGGCAGAGGCAGGCGGATCTCTGTGAGTTCGAGGCCAGCCTGGTCTCCAGAGCGAGTGCCAGGATAGGCTCCAAAGCTACACAGAGAAACACTGTCTCGGAAAAAAAAAAAAAAGAGTAAACCGTTTTTTAAATTTTTAAGAAGGGAACTGCTTTGGCTAAAAAGCATTGAGTTCTCATTTGGACTCAAAAGTCCTGGCATCTTGCCTTCATTATGTATCTATCTCCTATAGATAAAAACTATCAACTTTTTAATTTGTTTGTTTGTTTTTGAGACAGGGGTTCTCTGTGTAACAGCCCTGGCTGTCCTGGAACTAACTCTGTAGACCAGGCTGGCCTCGAACTCACTGAGATCCACCTGCCTCTGCCTCCCAAGTGCTGGGATCAAAGGCGTGCGCCACCACCATCCAGCATTAATTGTCAACTTTTACAATATTCTGTTCCAGATTACCCAAAAGGTGTTTCGGATGTGTCATAAAACGTCAGTTTATTCCTGGAACAACAGGATTGACCAATAAGTACTTTTATGAAGCAATGCTTAGCCTCAAGGGACAAGAATCTCTCCTCTACACATACTGAGGACAATTACCTGAGTAGATGAAGCTGTATGTTGCACAGGAATCATTGTCTTAAGGGAATCCAATTGCTTACCTCAAGCAATAAGGGCTTTGAGCCACCTTGCAGAATCAAACAGATCACACCAAGTAGACAACTTTGACCTTGACTTAATTAGCTATTCTCCCTTTATCTAACCTGAGAATGGTGTCATAGGCCTGTAAATTCAAATCGAGATGTTGAAGCTGGAAAATGAGTTCATCCCCCTGTACTGCATATCAAGTTCAAGGCCAGCCTGGTCTACAAGAGAAGCTACTCAAAAAGCCAGAGCAACAGTATACCATAGATCGGTGATAGAGTACAAAAGCCTGTGCACCGGGATATGACTATAAACTGTGGGCTGGAGAGATGGCTCAGCACTTAACACTTGATGCACAATCATGAAGTCCAGAGTTTGAACCCTACCATCCACATAACAAGCAAGGGATCCCTGGGGTTTGCTTGCTTCCAGCCTAAAGAAAACATGAGCCTCAAGTTCAGAGAGAGACTTTGCCTTATAGGAATAGGGAGACAGTGATAGAGCTCAGAGATGTAAGAAAATACACACACACACACACACACACACACACACACACACACACACACACACACACACACGAATATACCATATACTTACACACGTTTTTTTTTTTCCTTTTGGTTTTTGTTTTGTTTTGAGTTTTTGTTTGTTTTTTGAGACAGTTTTTCTGTGTAACAGCCCTGGCTGTCCTAGAACTTTCTTTGTAGACCAGGCTGGCCTTGAACTCACAGAGACCCACCTGCTTCTGCATCCCCGAATGCTGGGGTTAAAGGATTGCACCATCATGCCCAGCCACAAGTTGATTTTTTTTAAACATAAAACATTTTCATTATTGAAGATTTTAGAACAGTTTTATTGATAGATTTGTGGGTGAGGGTAGGTGCTCCCAACAGCCTGTAACTCAAGCTCCAAGGTATCTGACACCCTCTTGCCTCCTCAGACACTATACTCATGCATGTTCCAGAACACAGAAACACATACATGAAATTAAAAATAAAATACATCTTTTAGAAGATGGAGCTGGAGAGATGGCTCAGCAGTTAAGAGCACTGTCTGCTCTTCCAAAGGACCCAGGTTCAATTCCCAGCATCCACAGGACAGCTCACTCCAGTTCCAGGGGATCCAATGTCTCTAGCACCTCCACAGACACTAAAGTGGCACAAAGAAATACATGCAGCTAGCCAAGAGAGTAATGGCCAGGACTGTTACACAGAGAAACCCTATCTCAAAATAATGCATGCAGCCAAAACACCCATACCCATAAAACAAAAACAAGAAAGATAACTCTTTTTTTGGTATGTGCGTGCAGGTTTCAAGACAGGGTAATCCTGGAACTTTGTAGACCTGGCTGGCCTCAGGGTTAAGGGTTCAAGGCATGTGCCACCACACCTTGCAGTAAGATAACTTTAAAAAATTTTTTTGAGCACTTTTTTTTTTTTGTATATATGAGTATTTTGCTTGCATTTGTCTGTGAACCACATGCATGTAATGTCCATAGAAGTCAGAAGAGGGTGTCAGATCCCCTTGGAACTGGCATTAGAGACAGTTGTGAACTGTCATGTGGGTGCTGAAAATTAAACCTGGATCCTTTAAGAAAGCAACCAGTGCTCCTAACTACTGAATCTCTCCAGCCCCTAAAATAAGTTTTCCGAGACAGGGTTTCTCTGTGTAGCTTTGGAGCCTATCCTGGCACTCACTCTGGAGACCAGGCTGGCCTCGAACTCACAGAGATCCACCTGCCTCTGCCTCCTGAGTGCTGGGATTAAAGGTGTGCGCCACCAACGCCCATCAAAATATTTTTTTATAAAGAAAAATACTATTCCATTGGAAAACTATACCACTCTGTAGCTGACCAGGCCTCTATTGGCAGGCAGCTATTCTCAGTCTCTCTTCTCCTCACTGGTCTATGAGAGGCAGCAGAAGTGGGGGAAAGATCAGAAGAAAATGAAGGTTGTCACATCCTTCTTGGAAGAGCTGTTGGGAGGGTGGTTGAAGATGCCTGGAGATGACCTTGGCCTCACCTCTGTTCTAGCAGTCCCCAGAGTAGCAGCTCCCAAATGGAAATGTGCATGTCACCTGGGGAACTCATTATGCAGAAAGCAACCGAACGAAGAGAAACCCTAAGAATCTGAGTCTGTGTCAGAGGGTCTGAGGACGTACTTTGTCGGCAGAACCCTATGGAATTCTGACAGAGGTACATTCTCTGATGTAACTGATTCTGCCATATGGACTACATTTCAAGAAACACTGAGAGTAGAGGCAACTGTGTTCACCTGAGAAGCAGGAAAGGCTATTGTGGGGTGGGGGGATGGGAAAATGAGTTAGGGATCTCAGTCACTGCAGGAGACACAGGTGCACTTTGAGGTGGAGCACAAGAAAGAGATGCCCAGAAGACCCTGTGGTTCTGATGGACACATGAAAAGCCCCCCTGACACACTTCCTTCCCTCCCTGGTGTTCAGAGTGTTCCACTAGGGCTACAGGGGTACAGAAGAACTCCTCTGCAGGGCCACTGGAGCATGTAAAAGGGCATGGCTCTGGCTGAGAAAGAGGAAAGAGAGGTTCCCTATGGCCACCAGCAGAGAGACCCCAAATCAGGAATGCTGATGGAGGGTGGGAGAACATCAAGAATTCAGGAGCATATGTTGTTGGTGGGGGGCATAAATTCATCCCCCAGCTCTGAAAAGTAACTGGACCATAATTCCATTCTAGTGTATGTATACCAGAGAAACAATTCTTATCTATGGGCTTCAAAAAAAGAAAAAAGAAAAATAACCTAAAGACACAGGATGTTCTTAGCAATATTGATCAAACTAAAAACCTATAACTAACACCCTTGGACAGGTAGATAAATTGTGGTACAATAACACAATTTATGCCATGCATGTGTCAAATGGATGAACTATTACATACTACATGGACAAAGCATAGTAAGTTATACTTAGAAACATAATAAATTATAGAATAAATGCATTTGTGTTAATTTACAAAATGAGCAAAGTAGAAAACGTTATTGTTTGTGGATCTGTGCAAAAAATATAGAGAAAAAAAGAAAAACTCTAAAAAAAAAGCAAAAGTTAATGGAACAATTCAGAATGGTGATTACCCTGCATAGGGCAAGGAACAAGCTCGCTAGAGCACTAGTCATGTTCATGGTCTTCAGTGTTAGCTTCATAGGTGTCTGTTTTAGTCAACCTATGATCTATGTATACATACCATGTATCCTTTGGGCTACATATTTCAATATTTAAAAAAGCAGAACCAGTGTTGGTGGCACATGCCTTTAATCCCAGCACTCAAGAGCCAGAGATGGAGGATCTTTGTGAGTTC